TCTACTTTTTTTTCTCCCCTTTTTTCTTTCTCTCTTTTTCTCTGTCCCCTCTTTTCCCTCTCTTTCTCTCTCTTTCTCTCTCTTTCTCTCGTCTTTTTCTCTTCTTTTCTCTCCCCCTCCTCTCCCCCTCCCTCTCTCTCTCTCACTCTATCTTTTACTCACTTTCTAGTCCATGGGTGGGGGTTTTTTTCGAAAAAAAGATTTCCTAGAAAATACGTCTCGGAAAGTACCTTTTTTAAACGTTCGTCGTTTCAGTTTCCCGGGAAACTGGGAGGCGGACTCAAAAAAGCTGTTGAAACAAAAAAAGGACTACCTTTTTTAAACACAAAAACATGTGAGCTCTAGGCCTTACATCAACTTTACGGTAGTTGAATCTGTCAGTAAGCTGGTTACACTCACATGTGTTGCATCTAGAGCATTCTTCGCGGCCGGGACTTTTCTAGAATTTTAAATCAAGAGGCCCAAAAAAAGGCTGTTTTTGGTATCTTTCTTTTATTTATTTTTGTGTAGTATCAAGCAAGGTTTACAGACAGGTTTGCTAGGGTAGAATAACAGCTAGTCGAACTCGTAAATCTGCTTGAAACATAATCCAAGTATGAATATTTTAAATCTAAAGTCTAAAGTAATGAATAATAATCCAGCTGACATAACTACAACAATGTTAGTTAAAGGTCACAAATTACAACACGCCAGTCAATTCAAATTTTTAGGATCCATTTTAAGTGACCTAGGATCTAGACCAGAAATCTTGATTAGTTTCGCTCAGACAAGTTCAGGTTTTGCGTAACAGCAGGCAGATCCAAAAACATTATTTGCAAATCTAAGATTCGATTGCCCCGGGCTCTATCTGTTAGTACATTTACATACATGGACCATAACAACTGAAGTGGAAAAGAAGATAAAAGCATTGGAAATCAGATCTTTCAGAACAATTCTTAGCATAACATACAGAGACCACATAACATATGAGGAGGTTCGTCATAAAAGTTCCCATCACACAGGCACAACAGGCTTCTGGGCAGCTGAAAAAGGATCAAATTTTGAATTTTTGTTGGACAACTGGAATTAGAATTGGGCGACTGAAAACCTCTTAACTACAATAGAAAGGCAAAAAATGCAATCGTATGGACATGTAGTAAGATCTGACAACCTCTCAAAATCAATACTACTATGCGCAGCAGGGGAGAAGAAGAGTAGAGGCATGCCAAGAAAGACCTGAATACAAAACTGGATTGACTGGACAGGCCTTTATCATGCAAACATGAAGTCCATCGTGCCGGACCGTCAAAGGTAGAGAGGCAGTTGATCAAACAGTCAACAAAAAGTTGTGGTTCAACTATACGCGCTGTCACGGGACGATGATGTGGATGATGATAGTCGTCTATTTTTTGTCCTAAGGATAATAATAATAATAATAATATTAATAATAATAAAGTTTTGCATTAGAAATAAATACAATAATATATATGGAACATAGGAGCCGAAATACTTGGACTCACAAACGTTGTAGCAGGAGGGGGGAAGTATGGTGCTTAACCTACTATCTCATTATTAATGCTGCACAATTAAACACACCTTAAGCATTATGAGCTCCAAAACGGCGACCTAAAATGTTTTGGCGAAGATTAATAGCGCAAAAACAGTTTTAAAAAAAATTATGTAATAGTATATAAAAGTGTAAATTGTTTTAGTATCATAATTATTGCAACAAATATAAAACAGCCCATCTCCCGACCCTATGCATATTTAGGGGGCCGGACAATGGTATTGAGCCTGCTGACCAATGTTTTCTCTGTGGCACCGCTCCTGCCCCCTTTCAACAAGTGGTGGGAATTATCAGTTCCGATTTTGTACACTCCGCTAGATTCTAGGTTTACAAACAAAGGGCTGTACATATCAGAGATAGCTGGCTAGAAATAACGAAATCACTGCATCAACCACACTTTGCCACACCCTTCTTCTTTAGTGAACTTCTTCTTTCTTCTTTCTTCCCACCTCTACTCCTGGATGGCCTTGCGGCGTCGGAACGGGCAGGAAGAGATTGCTGGAACGGACCCTTCTGTATAAAGTACTTTTCCGTGTCTCTGATATTTCTGCGGTCCATTTTCTGCGTGGTCGACCTCTGGGTCTGTTACTGTTGTATCTGTAAAACATAACGTTGCTCTCTGTCTAATGCCAATCTCGTTACATGGCCAAACCATTTGATTTGTCGTCTACCTATAGAGTTCAGTATTGGTTCTGTGCGGACTCTCCTCCTGATATCGTTCCTAAGTCGATCTTTCCTCGTTACACTTGGCATAGTACGAAAACATTTCATTTCTGTCGTGACATTTTCCTTCTGTTTTCTGAAGACAGTGTCCATGTTTGACATTGACAGCATAGTGTTGGTAAAAATATTGTGTTGAAGAGAGTTCTTTTAATGTTCATACTCCCATACTTGCATTTCAAAATTAGTGTCATTTGGCCTAACACTTGATTGGCTTTATTGCATCTTTGCTGGATCTCTTCAGTAATTCTTCAGTCTTCTGAAAAAAAAATTGCTATCCAAATATGTAAAATCCTTCACTTGCTTTAACTGGTGTTCATCAGTTTTGATATCGGAGGTTCTTCCTTTCCTGGAGAATAGCATCACTTTTGTTTTGTTCACGTTGATCTTCTTGTCATAGTTGTTGCATTCTGAGTGGAGTCTTTTAATGTTTTCTTGTAATTGTACTGCTGTTAGTGCTATAAGTGCCAGGTCATCGGCGAAAAGCAATTCATTTAGTAATTCTCCGATGTTGTCCCCCTTGCTGATGTTAGCTGATCTGCAAATTTGATCTCTGGTTGACGGACGTGACGAACAGTAGTGGTGATAAAACGCACCCCTGTCTCACTACTGTCTGCATATTGTTATTGACATAGAATTTGTTGAAAGCTGGTGTAGTTGACCTACTGTGTTTACATTTCTCCTCAGGAACGACCGGGGACGATGGCTCAAGTGAGACTGAATCTTCTACTGGTGGGGAAGACTGGGCACGGAAAAAGCCTAACCGGCAACAACATTCTTGGTAGACGTACCTTTAAAGTTTCGTCTAGTGTTCAATCAGTGACAACAGAAATCCAGCAAGATTTTGCCACTTTTGGAAACTACGTAGTCAAGGTAGTCGACGGGCCAGGACTGAAAGACACGGCCGTAAAAAGTGCACAAGATCAAGAAACGGCAGCAGCAAATATGACCCAAGCATTGTCCATGTGTGATGGCTACGTTGATGCTTTTTTGTTTGTTTATAAGTATGGCACCAGGTTTACAGAGGAGGAGAGGGGCGCACTGGAGGGTCTGAAGCTGATTTTTGGGGAGGAATATTTCAGCCATCTGATCGTTGTAGTAACTATGGGAGATGTGTTCAGAGGGGACATGGAGGAGGAGGGAAAAGGTAATATAGCCATTGATACATGGTGCAAAAAACAGGCTGGCCCTTTCAGGAAGTTGTTTGATAACTGCGGGGGCAGAGTTATTCTGATTAATAACAAAGAAAAGGTCGAAAGTGCCATGAATAAACAAAGAGAAGCAATTATTGAACTTGCAAGCCACTTGCAAACAGTTAATGGCAGGTACACGAGCGAGGCGTTTAAAGCAGCAAGGGAATTGCGTGAGCTATACATTATTCAACAAAAGTTTCCAATACTGCATGCACAAATTCAAGAAAAGTGTGGTCTTTTGATGGCTGATTTAGAAAAATACATGAAGACACCAAGTGAAGAGGACAAACATAAAATTCAAGAAAGTATAAATGCTGCAAAGAAGGAAATAAGAGATCAGGCCAAAGGAACTAAATTGTTGGATCATTTACTTGTACATGTAGAGCAGCTTGAGAAGAATCTCAATAATATTGATAAACTCAGACAAATTACGCAGGAACTGGACGATGCCAGAAAGTCGAACAGTACCTGGGATATGTTTGGATCATTCTGTAAATATTTGGCTGCTAGTGTATCTGTTGCTTTTAGTAGTGTGAAGTTAGTGAAAATGGTGACGATGTTTAAGGGGACATTGGGACTAGCCATAGCCGGGGGTACATTCGTTCTCAGTGCCGCGGCAACTGCCATTGATGGTCTACAGTCAACCAATCAAGAAGAGAAACTCAAAGAGGAACAAGAAGCAATCAAAAGCAAGTTGACAGAATCCGGTCTTGGGGCTGATGAAACCAAATAGTTTATACCACTCATTAGCTAACACTAGAAAATTCAAAATTTTTTTTTACATTAGCGAGTGGGGTTGATCATGAAAAATGAATAAACACAAAATACAGCTAGAAGCTCGACTTAACTAAACAAACATAAATTAACGTTTACACCCAGTTCTCTGTCACAGACAAAACAATACTTATATACAACACTCAATAACACAGGTCTAGCTCATGAATCACCGAATCACTAAATATAATCTACATGTTTCATCGAAAAAGAAAACTGAAGACGTATGAGAATAATTCCTGGTTTTGTTAATTTTATTTGCACAACTATTTTTGTAATTACCCAGAGTGAAATCATCCAGCACATTTGCGACTGTTGGCCGCCTTTAACTACAGTGAAAAGATGGAAATTACAATAGTACGTACATGTAACGAGATCTAACGACATCCCCAAAACAATGCTACAGGGCCCAGTAGAGGGGAAGAGGAGAAAAGGTAGACCAAAAAAGATCTGGATACAGAACCTGACTGACTGGACAGGCTTCGAGCATGCAAACATGGAGTCCATCGCATTTAACTGTCATAGGTAGAAAGTGCTGATCAGACACGCAGTGTTACGGGATGGTGATGATGATGATTTTATAAACGTATGATCAATAATTGTTGATGACATGGATGTAGTCAGATTTCTTGATTACCGTATGTACAATGATTGTTGTTGACATGGATGTAGTCAGATTTCTTGATTACCCAAACCCAAATTTGAATAATAATGATTTAATATATAAGTGAATGCACAGTAACTTTGAAAATCTTCAAAGTATGAATTCTTTGATGAGGTTTTCAAAAGTCTTACCAAAAAAGAAAATGTCCATTGTAATGTAAAAAAAGCGTTAAAGTGTTATGTAAGACCTGTTCTGTTATGTGCATGTGAAACAGTAACAAAACGTAGACTAGCTGAAAACATATACAGAGGTGTGGTTTTTGAAAAGAATGTAAAGAACATCATGAAAGGATAGAACAAGAAACAAAGCAGACCTCATCAAGAAAGATAGAAGTCGTAAAATTATTAGAACAATTTTATGAAGACGAAGTTTTTTAAAATTTTTTTAATTTTTAAAATAGTTATGAGAAGCAATGGACTCCAGAAATTGCTAACAACTGGTACGATTTATAAAAAGACATCAAGAGGACAACAGAGAGATAAATACCTGGATGTGTTAGCCACATGGATGGGGCGAACCCTAAAAACGTTGACCTGATCCGTGGTCCTGGTGAGATGGGGAAACATGACGGTCTACGCTTACCAGCATGGTGCATGGTAATAATGATGACAGAGGAAAGTTTTGTCTTTTCGTCCACTCTTGGACTCTAGTCCTGTCCCAGCGCATGCGTGTTACGTGTACAGCCGTATTACAGATCTTAGCCATTTGTATGCAGACTGTTGTTTGCATGCCTCTCAAGCAGATTCACTCCGGTTGCAAAGGACGCTCCCAATTAGTCGACTCCTACGACATGCTTGTTTAGGAGGCCATGGTTCTCTTCTTGTTTTCATCACAGTGAGGCACAGAACCTTTTAGGGAAGTGAGGTTTGCCCATGCGTTTTTAGATGTTATTTTTATGTCACTATAAATGAAGTTAGGCTTCTCTTTTTTTAATAAGCTTCTATTAAATTCGCTTTGATATGTTTGATTGCATGTTTCTCTCGGTGGGACGTTGCACACTATTGTTTCCTGATAAGCTGTCCAGCTTCGTGTTTGCACACACAAGCTTTGTGGACTTATAAAAGGATAGGGGCAGCTAACTAACAATACAACATACTCAGCTCGACTTGTCAAAAGAATCAGCCGTTATATGTACACACCTGATTCAATTTCACATGTACACACTTGATTCAATTTCATATGTACACATTCTATATAATCATGTGCATATTACTTTCAATGCTTTTTTAGTAGTGGAATAAAATTGTGGATGAATTTTGTAAAAGAATTTTAAAATCTTGTTTGTCAGTTACCTTTTACTATTAGATTATTTTAGCTTTTTTTAGTGCTTTCATTGTACAATGCGTTTGCGAATACAATCTATTTTTATCAAATGTTATTTTTAGGCTAGCTTCGTTTACTTAAAAAGAATTGTTTAATAACCGTTTGCAGCATTTTTTATCTTCTTGTTCGTCTTCGTGCTCACCAGCTGTTTACTCTGGCGGAAAGTTCTGGTTGTTCGTCCACTTCTAAACTGCTCTCTTGTTTCAGAACCTGAGTGTTGCGTGTGCATCAGTTTTACAGATCTGATTCAATTTAATGCAGAGTGTTGGTTCCTTGCCTCTCAGGCAGACGCACTGCGACTTCAAAGGACGCTCCCCAATTAGTCGATTCTTACGACATGCTTGTGGATAGGCAGTGGGTCGGTTCTTGTTTCCCCCCCCCCCCCACAATGGGGCCCGGAACCCACACGGAAAGGCAGTTTTGTTTGTTTGTTTCGTGTGTTGATTTATTAGCCTTACTTATCTTACCGATCACTGTATGTCAATGTACATTTATTATAAATAATTATTTTCCTCATGTTTTCTTTCAAGTTTCCATTTATCATGTCCACGTATTTCGTTAATATTTTCTGTCAAGTGTCCACGGATTATAGCCATACTGTATATCCCACTAACATTTGTGGCTACTTAATTACACAAACGATCAAACGATTATAAATCAAGAATTAGTCTCTGGAGATGGGAATTTATGTTACAACAGATGGATTTTATTTAAACAAAAACTATCAAATATCGTAAATTGTGGCGTACAAGTCGACCTGGTGTACATTCAATCTCATCATCATCATCATCACGTGCCCTGCCAACCGGCGTAGGCGCTCATGCGTCTCCACAGATCACGTTCCCTTGTTGCCTGGAACAGCTCTCTTGATGATATTCTTTCATGCCATCGTTACAGTCCATCCAGCATCATCTCTCTTGGTCTGCCTCTACCCTATTTTCCGCTGAACTTTCCAGTTGTCACGATGTTCTCCAGTGTCTCTCTTCTCATTATGTGGCCAAAGAGGACATTCAACCTCAAGATATTTTATTTACCTGTCTGAGTTACACATTTACTTACCTAAATCATTTTGTACCTACCATATGAATCCAGTCCAAGTTTTTTGGAAGGATCTTTTTGCTTGAAAATTTGAAATTCATGTATGTTCTGAAAATATTTATTAGGAATAATTTGGGGGCGGGGGAGGAGGGGGAAGAGAGATAGTTGTTAACAGAAAAACAGGTCGTGAAATATTTTGTTTACATACACACACACAAAAAAAACAACACTTATAAGCCAATACTGGAGGGAAAATTCGGTGGCCGAAGAGAGAGAGAGAGGTATTCAACGATACAAGTGAGAACATAACACCAGAAGTTAAACGAAAAGGAATCTCACAGAGTCTAAAACAATGACGAAAGACAAAATGTGTTGCGTAGGCAGCTGGTCACCGGGACTCAAGGACCTTAAGACGCTCCCCTCAACTTTTCAAAAGCTAGCTTCTCGGTAAATCATCTTTAAAAATACACTTGAACTAAAATTCTCTAGTTTTTATTTTTATTTTTTTACTTAGTTGGTGAACATTAAACTTTTAATTTGGTGTTTGAGTTTCTTTCTCCAAAGGGACTGTAGAGGTAAAATGTGCAGCACATATAAACATAAAAAAATCTAGCATTTTCGCAAATCCAGAACTCCAAAGACCTGGAGGTTGCCTGATTTTTTTATGTTAACTTGTGTTTATTTTTGTTATTTTTTGTTGTTGGTGCATCTTCCATATCATTTTAAAATAGTATTGGCCATTCAACATATTATTATTATTCTGTTGAACTAGAATTAAACGTCCTGAGGTCTGTCCCTCTCTTTGCTATTGGTAAAGCGGGGCAGAGGGCAAAAGAAGACTTTGCAATTTTCTCTGTATATAACGCTACACTGCTAGTGTGTAGGAGATCCATTGCAACTAATCTTGATTGTGGAGACGGCGTCTGACTGGCTTATTACAGTGTTTGCTAACAAGTGAGACTTTATTGAAAACAAAAAACGTTAAGTGCTGTTGTGTGTCTCGAAAAGGAACAGTTGCACTGCGACTTCAAAGGACGCTCCCCAATTAGTCGACTCTTACGACATGCCTGTGGATATGCAGTGGGTCGATTCTTGTTTCCCCCCCCCCCCCCCACAATGGGGCCCCGGAACCTACACGGGAAGGGAAGGCAGTTTTTTGTTTGTTTCTTGTGTTGATTTACTAGTTCTACTTATCTTACCGATCACTGTATGTCAATGTACATTTATTATAAATAATTATTTTCCTCATGTTTTCTTTCAAAATTCCATTTATCATGTCCACGTATCTCGTTAATATTTTCTTTCAAGTGTCTACGGATGATAGCCATACTGTATATCCCATCAACATTTGTGGCCACTTAATTACACGAAGATCAAGCGATTATAAATCTAGAATGAGTCTCTGGAGATGTGCACTTATGTGAAAACAGATGGGTGACTGGATGATGGGTAACGATATCTGTTGTCATTTCTTGTTGATTTAGAAGGTCTGTAAGGACACACATTAGTCTATTAGGGCGACCTTTTCCTTTAGGTTGTCGAGGAAGATTTAGGGTGCTGCTTTAAATTTTTCTGACCGCCTCGAACAAGGTAAACTGTACTTTTGCAGTTTGTGAATGTAATCTTTCCATTTTCATTGGTCATCTACGTCTATTCGCCTATTTCGACGTATGACTTGTAAGGTCTGGCATTGATAACACAGGGTTGGCAAACAAGATTGTGATATAGAGAGCTCTTTTGGTTTCTACTGATGCATGATTGTTTCATAGTATTGGTGCCATTTGCCCAGTGTGTTGGTTCGCTTTGTTACATCTGTTATCGATTTCTGATCATGTATACAGATGGTTCGGTGGTGAGAGGAAAGAGAAGTGACTGGGGTTCGTAGCGAAAGCCGATGGAAAATCATTAGTGCAAGACAGCCCAATATACGACAC